TCCTCTCTTATACTCTGCTCTAGGATTTTTTTTAACCTTCTTTGTAGCTCCATCCCTATTCACTAGTCTTCACTTGCAGCTGGCTCCCTGCCTCTAGGCTAGGCAAACTATTAGCTGCTAACTACCTGCAGCTGGGCTTCAGTCCCTGGAGGCTTAGCACCTCCTTGCATATATATGATATTAACCTTTCTGTTAAAAGGCATCTATTTAGTTAGATCAAGGATGTCAGGCTCATCTGGTCCATGAACCAGCCTGCATTCTGGACTCTGTATGTCCTGGATCAGGCAGTGGATGGGCAGCCTCTGGGCTACACAGTCCCAGAGTTGCCACCACTGTGGGGCTGTGCTGCACAGCCCCAAAGCAGCCATGATATGCAGTATGACCCCAGATCAGCAGGAAGTCACTCCAGTGCTCCAGAGCTGTGCTGCATACTATGGCCACTCTATATATGCAAGTGGGAGCACACACCATATGCAGAACACAGAACCATCCGTCCCACCCCGTACGCTGCCTGTATGTCCCTCTGAGAGCCACAGGCAGCACCAAGAACTGGATGATACAGCTTCATGGGCCAGATGTGGCCCATGGGCTCTATCTTTGACACCCTGGAGTTAAACCGCTAACAATGAGATTACTAAAACTAAAAAAAAGTAAAATGATGTACTTGTGAACATTTAGACCATGTATATGCCTAATCTTTTCCACTGAGTGAATGATGAAAAATATGTTGGTCACTTTCACTTTTGTTTTGAGCCACTTTCACCTTCAGAATTTAGCAGGCCAGTACAGTGGATTAACATTAAGTGGAAAATACTGCAGGGACATAAAAGCCAGTTTTCACTAGAATATTTTCTAAATATAAATGGGAAAATTCTACTGCTTTTGGACTGAGATGCAGACTGCAAATAAAAATGGGGGATATGACGGGTGTGTTGCATTTTGGTCAGTGTCCCTTTGTAGATGCTTTTATTAAAGGTTTTTCAGTGTCTGACATTTTCAGAAACATCATTTAATTACAATTTCCTGTTAAAAAAACCTGTTATAAGGCAAAGCAGCATGCTTTAACATTTTTCCACCAGTTGTGCACATCATCTATCTGATGGAAAAGAACGGAATGCAACTTAAATGAGATATTCCAACGTGCTTTCCGGGAACACCACAGGAGTCAAGCTATTTGACCTCTTTACTGCTTTAGGGATTTCAGCATATGTCCTGTACAAATGAATTTCTGAAATTGCATGCTCTGGGGGGAAACTGTTGCCTAGATTTATGAACTTTGAATATTCATGAAAGGAAGATGTGAAAGGGGCTACAGAATGATTTTTTTTTTTTGAATCATGAAAGTTTAAAATGTATTTGATGTCAAAACCTGAGTAACAATTGATTCTGTTTTAATACTATAAAGACTTATAAAATTAAACTCACAACTAATTGGAAAGCTGACAATCAGCTCTTGAACAGCACTGGCCACAAGAATAATAGGTTAAAGATTAAGGTGCTTTGCCTAGAAAAATAACAAGATAAGTTTCAAGAGCAACCAAGGGCTTCTGTCCTTAATTCACAACTGGGCAATTCTGTCAGCTTTTTGGGTATAGATATAGATCTAGACCAGGCCAATAAATCCCTGGTAAAATTTACCTTCAAACTCAGATATTTATACTGATTTACATTTGTTTGGAGAAGACAATTACTGGCTTATATTGTCATTCAAAACTGAGAACACATTAATGAAAAAAACAATTTTGTCTGCTAGATATCTATCTGCCCTGGATATCTAGTAGTTACAACACGACTCTGAGGAATCTGCTTCAGAGATCTTTCACCTCCCACTGTCAGAAAACTGTTTGGAGGAAGGAGTGCTTTTATGTACAGCTACAACCAACTTCTATCCATGTTGGTGCAGTTTTTGAGTATGTCTATATAGTATCTAGGCTAAGATGGTCCTGAGTGCTTCTCCTCAGTAAACAAGGTTCTTTGGGTGAATCTGATATCTTTTATTACACAAACTTAAATAGTTGGAAACAATTTTCTTAGCAAGCTTTTGGGTTTAAAAACCCTTCACCAGGCTGAAGAAGCATCTCCTCAGCAAGGTATCCCAGCCAGGACACATTGTTACTATGGTGTAAACTTACTTTCTAAAAACATCTGTAAAGTTTGTTTCAAAAGGCAAAGGAAGTTATAGAATCCAAATGTTCTGATTTGAATACCAGAGTTTGGACTAGATGATTCTTGAGGTCCCTCCCACCCACATGATTATTGTATCTGATAATGAACTAGTATGAAGCTCTTCATTTGCCTCTCAAAAATAGAGAGGAAGCCTTAATAGTTGATGTCAGGATCTGTAACAAGCCAAGTAGTGTTATGAATTAAGCCGCATATCACAAAACCTTTGAAGCTTGAGTAGAGGGGATGGCATTCCAGATGCGTAATGCAACACACAGAAAGCAGGCATTCACCCGGCTGGCCTTTTCTATTAATCACATATCAACCACTCAGTTTGAAAGGTATTTGATGTCACCTTTTTAAGTCTTGCCCAGCTGCAGAGAGGAGGAGGAGGTGGACTGGACAAGCCTATAGCATGTGAATTGAAGATCAAATATCTACCAAGTATGCAGGGTCAAGTCAGCAGGCAGACAGACAGCTGACTGTCCATACCCCAGAGGCTAAATGAAGAACAGATGAGGCAGACTTCTTTATAAAATTAGCTGACTTAACAACAGTTTATCACTTCTTGTCCTTAACCATGCCATTTGACAAATACTTTGTTGTCCCTGAGAATAACCAGTCATGTACATACAGCACCTGCTATTTTTTCAATGATTTTGGAATGCTGTGCTTTAAATGACCCATCAGTCATTGTAGCTAGAAGACAAAAATCTGCTTCTGCAAAACTGGAATTTAAAGAATATCCTTTTCCCCAGAGCCCAGCTCAAGTAAAAAGTTGAAAAAGTTGATGAAACCTTACCAAAAAAAACCCTGAATCTACAACCTCATGCCATAGAAATTCAACAGAGTATGCACCGAATTGATCCCCTCTCCTTCCTTGAAAAAGGGGCAGCTATCCTTACTGATAATCATTCCCTCAGTCTGTGTATAATGGATTTATGGGTACAGACTGCAATGATTTCAGTGGCAAGGAGAGAAAGAGAGAGTGAGTGAGCAAGCCAGTTAGAAACAACATGCATGGTCCAGTTGCTAGAGCAGTGGACTACGGGTCAAGAATCCTAAATTCTAGTCCCACCTTTGACACCGCTCATCATGTGACCTTGGGCCAGTCACTTTACCTCATTGTGCCTCATCTTCCACCATCTAGGAACAGGAATAATACTTACATAGAGAGTGAATGAGCCTGAAACAGGCAAAACACCAAGTGAAGTCAAAGGGAGAATTATATCCATATGTTAAATGCACTTACCTGGTGATTAAAACACAGTAGAGAAATGTCTTCGTACCTGTATTTGATACTTGTAGGCAACTTGGAATACAGTGCATTATGTCTGGCAGATAAATTGAAAGTTTACCATAAAGGCAAATGTAGATTTTTATAGAAATTGTGACAACTGTTTTCTTGGTTTAAGGTAAATATTCATCTGGAATTTAACAAAGTAATTTTCATAACTTAATTAACTTAAAATTGAATTATGATTACTAGTTGGTATATGTTTAATAGATATACTGAGCACCAAAGAACTAAGGTAACTCACATTAGCATTTCATGGATAATTACACTTTTATTGACCCATTAAAAGTGCTGTTTGATAATATATTTGAAAGGGCAGCTATTTACCAAGTAATAATTTTTTGCTATAACAAGAACATCAAAATTTCACTGTTTGAGAGAGACTTTTAAGCAAAATGAAGTGTAGTAGGTAATTTTAATCTGTTCCACATAAAACAAACGAAAACTACTGCGGTTTATCAATGCTCCTCACTGATAGCATGGGCAACTCCCAAACAGACATAAGCAAAATAAAAGATTCTTTGCAAATTCCACAAAAAAGGACTTTTGTACAAAAGGACCAATTAAATTTACTACAGGTACTGCTAAGGACATGGACAAACAACCCAATTATTACTAGGTGCATCTTTACATGTGTATCTATACATGTGCTTTACTGCTGAGTTGACTAATTAGTTCCACAGTAAAGCATCACAGTCTACATGTCCGTTGGAATTAGGGCGTAGTAAATGAACTCTGCCATAGGATAGTACTGTTCAGGACAAGTACTATCCTACAGCAGAGTAATTATGCACACTCAAACACGTGTAGATTGTGACCGGGGCTGGCTGGGGCTTGAAGGTGCTACAGTGCAGGGGCTGCCTGCCACCTAGCCCCACACTGTAGCACCCTCGTGCCCCAGGCAGCCCCTCTGCTGCTTGACGCTGCCACCTGGAGCCCAGAGCTGACCCCCTGGGCCCCTCGCCAGCCCAGGATGCTCTGCCCCAGTTCAAACTGCTGCAATCCAAGGTGCACATGCAGATGCTGTGCCCAGGAGCAGCTGACTCCAGCACAAACTGTGCCAGTTAATTGCTACATGCTAATTGCACATGTAGATGCACCCAGTAAGAAATAGACAACCAACTACTTCTCCCCCAAGCCAGCTGCCTGCAATAGGCATTAATAGGCATTGTTACAATGCCTGGCTGGGAATGAACATGGAGTCAGTTTGCATTGAGCAAGGGGCTATTCTAAGATGAAACTGAGTATGGGAGTGGACATGGAACAGATACCATGTAGTAACTTTCCCACATAGTATAATTATTGTACATTTTTTCAAGCATATCCTTTCTACCCTACTAGGATTGAGAATGTGTTCAGTCCACTTTTAATATATAATACATTATACATCATGTCTCCATACCCCTTACTGTGGATAAAAATGACCTCTGTGCAGCAAGTTACCAAACTCGCATGTACCACTTAGGTCCTTTACCCCTGGCTTAAGTGGGACATAGATTGTCTGCTGGACCTCTGTATGGGAAGCATTTTCAGCCAGTTGAACTTGAGAAAAATCAATTTAATTTCTGTTTGGTTCAGATTCTCCATCTACTGATGGAAGGTAACAACACCAACATCAACATCACAGCAGCCTTGATAGCTTTAACTCTTGAACATCCATCTAATGCTCCAAGACCCAGGGAGGAAGAGTTCTATGCAAGTCTATGTCATTGCTCTTAATCTTGGGAGGCATATGACACTAAAATATTAAAAATCTTGTTTTAGCATTCAGAAATAGGATGCACTACGCTAATCAGCTTGACAACAATTATTGCATTTTTAAAAGCAGTGGTAGAAAGCCTAATACACATATTTCATACCAAGGTGGCTGTGCCATGCAGAAACACCACTACTTATTAGTGATGGTATATCATAAGCACACTCAGAAGCATTTACGATGGACAATGGAGGGGCCAGCTTCTTCGTATTCATCTTTGCTGATCCACATTTGCTGGAAGGTAGAGAGGGAAGCCAAGATTGAACCCCCAATCCAGACAGAATATTTACGTTCTGGTGGTGCAATCATCTAGAAGAAAAGTGGAAGACTTCTCAGTGAAAGAAAACAAGTAGCTGATATAATGATGTCTCCTCTCTGTGCAAACATATTAAATGAAATTCTGTTTCCTCTCTACATCAAGGGCAATTTTGCTGAGGTAATACCACCAATAGGTCATCTTCTCTGTCTGGCAGCTGAAGTCCTCAGAGATGCTCCAGTGTAGCTGAGAGCATGATTTGACTTATGACTATCTTATAGCTTTCACCAAAAGGGAAGCCAATAGAGTGGCAGATGCTCAACTCTATTCTGAATCAGGCCCAAAGATGGTAAAGAAAGATGCAGTCATTTGCAGATAGCCATGAAATGTTGATCACTTGACCTACCCTGCAGTTAAACAAATGCTGATCAAGGGTTTATCACCTGGTTGTAGATGGACCACTTGCCACAAAGATACCTGGGTACCCCAGCCTATGATCCCTTTTTAAAATTCTTAGACTGCCATTTCACTGAGGTATGCTGTAAAGCCTTATCAGGTTCTTCACTGGGTCTCATCCATCCATAGTTAACTGACTTCCCTACATTTTAGGTTGATTCTCTGAAGTTCTGAACATCTCAGTCAATAAAAGGTAGCTGATGATGCTTAGCACCTCACAGGATCAGGCCCTGTAAACTCTTTTAGATAAAGATTTTCAGAATCAATGACTGAATCTGAGTGAATAATTTCAAATTAGGCCCCAGAGGAAGGGTGATTGGAATTTAGCATAACTGGGTTCAAACAGGAACTAGATAAATTCATAAATGATAGATTTATTCATAGCTATTGAACAGAATGGTTGGAGATGTGTCCTCTGAACCAATAATGGTGGACGTCAGGGAGGATAATGGATAGGGGATAGATCATTCTAGATCTATCTAGTTCAGTGCTCTCCCCTTATAGCAGCTGGAGACAAAATACTGGGCTAGATGGACCATTGGTCTGACCCAGTATGGCACTTCTTATGTTCTTAAATGATGCCTCTTTTAAGAATCTCAAGAAAAAAACCCCAAAACTGAGGCACCCAAACTCACCAATCTTTTTAAAAATCTTGATGCTCCTTGTTTATCAGACTTGAATCAGCAGCATATTTAATTAAACTGAAGTTAAATTGGTAGTGGGCTCTACTCTGTGGCGTTACCTGGAAGAACTTATTTTCATAGATTCATAGATTGTAAGGCCAGATGGGACCTAGGAAGATCATTCAGTCTATCTAAAAGGACTATTTAAATGGGAGTTTTGAGGCATCTCATGTACATTTTTGCAAAGACTGCCATATATATAGGGGCAAATTCATGTGGCTGCTTCCCCCCCCCCCTTGCACTGTATACCAGAGTCAGCTTTCCAAAAGGCATACAAACTGGCTTCAATTCTCCATAGCCCAAGATGCCTGGATTCTCTGAAAAGTCTGAGCCAGAACTAAGGTCAGACCATGCCGTTGGGGGGAGGGGAGAAAGAGGGGTGAGGCATGGCTGGAGGGAAGGCCATGGTTAGGGAGCAGGCACAAGAAGGGTGAAGGCAGTGGCCTGTCTTAGAGAAAGCAAGTTGGACTACATCTGCAGAGCACTACTTAGTAGGAGTGCCAGAATAGGTCCCTTCTCTCCATGTCCCAGCAGCAAAAGCAGCCCCACAAAGTTGCTGGGTACACACACACCATGCTGCCATTGCCAAAGTAACAACTGGGAATATAGATCAACCCATGGCAATAGCAGCAGCTGGGAACTGTTTTTAAGTCTCCAAAGTAGGTAAGGTACTCCAGCACTCAGTAACACCTCCCCTCTCCTCCACTGCAGGGTTTGCCAATGGTAGAAACCCTGCTTGCTGTTCCTAGCTGACCTGGGTGCAAAGTAGGGGGAGCTCCTGACTCGCTCCAGCCAGAGGCTGTGGTGAGCAGCTACATGGGATGCCAGGCTCAGCTGGGGAGAATAGTATGGTGGCCAGTTCCCTCTTTCTGCCTCTGCTCCCACCTGGTTGGGCATGTGGGAGAGGCCAGACAGGGAGAAGAAGGGTTGTCCACTGCTGCTGTCCCTTGCCGAGCCTGGTAGTCTGAACAGCTGTTCCTCACAACTGGAGCTCCCAGACCAGTTTGGCAGGGGGGGGCGCAGCAGAGGCATCTGCACAATGAACAGGGGCAGGAGAGAGAGAGGCCCACCTTCTGCCCCAGGAATGGGGGGAGCCTTAGGAAGACTGTTCCTGCCCTGCTCCAACCATGGCTGTACGGAGTGGCGACATGGGTGCTAGGGTGTGCTGGAGACAGTGGAAGCTGTGTGCAAGTTCCTCTTTCCTTCCATCTGCTCCCTACTTTTGCCTCCCTCATTCTAGTGTCCACCACCACCCAGGGGCTCCAACTGTGCCTAGCCCCAGTCCTCTCAAAAGTCAGAGGGGTGGTCAGTGGCAGCTGTCATGCTCCTTTTTTCTTAATCTGGGATCTGCCCACATAAAATTAGTTTGTTGTTGTCTAATAAATCCAGAGGCAAGGATGTGCATGAATATAACAAATAAATATCTTTGGTTTAACTTCTCTTCAGATTGTCTCCCTGAAGAGGCAATGTTGACCTAGTGAACAAGGTAGCAGACTTAGCCTGTGGCTACGTATACATGTTCAAATGTTTTGAGATTTTCTCTTGGTAAAAAAACGTACCTGGAGACACATGAACAGATATTTGAATTCTGAACCTTTGAAGACAGTAAGGTTGCAATGCTGACACTGAGTAGCTAGGAGTTCCCCGTGCACACATTTCAGCATGCTTTGCAGACTCTCTCAGTCTGCCTGGAAACAAAAGGCAGTAGTACATGGGGCAGCCCTGATTGACTCATCCAGACTTCTCAGAGTCAGCCTATGTGCAATGTGGGGATTGTGAAAGAGGCGGAGCAGCTGAGTCCAATGAGTGGCAGGAGAAACTCTCCCAGGTTGTCCCCAAGTTATTTTCTTCCTGGAGTGGCCAATTTGATTCTGAGAGAAAAATCTTGAACATCTGTACACTCATGGTTTCTCTTAGGATATCAGTGACTTTCCCAGGAGAAACTGGAGGTCTGTACATGGCCAAAGCTGACACAGCAATAATCAGCATAGAAATACCCCACCTCACTGTCAGGGTAGTTCTTATGATTAAATCAGCATGGGAAGAGAGCCACACTATATTTAACATGAATATACTCTTTCTGTTGCCCAGGCTATGCTTTTCAGGGCCAGCTCAGGCATCTCTACTTGGCACTGCACTGTATGTCCTGTGCACTACTGTTGATAGACTTGGGTTGACTAACCTGCTGTGTTATCTTGGGTAAATCATACCATTTTCATACACTTGTTTCTTCTCCCATTGTTTGCCTGGCTTGTTTACTTAGTAAACTCTCTGGGGCATTATGCATCCATAGTGTCTAATATGACAAAACCATGGATTTCACTTAGGGACAGTTAAAAAAGAAATTAATTCAGATGCCTACAAGTCATACATTAGGCATCTCAGTCCAACAAAACAAAATTCAAAATTCAGACATGGATACCCAGGTCCTCTGCACAGTGCATAAAGAGAGTTAGATTCATCAGAATAGTGATATAAAAAATCTCCACCCCGAGCAGAGTTGCCTAGTGCAGACCAGCACAGAACATTGATCATACAAGTGTGTCTGAACTCCAGGCCCTCCCCATGATGTATGTCTCTGAGTTAAGCTTTGATTCAAAGCTCACCACCCATTCCTCAGGACAAATGTGTACAAGGTTAATTTGAAAGAACCAAGAATGTCACACACATGTTTTTAAAATAAAAGGAAGTGGTATAGGTTGCTTACTAACCATTGATTATGTCACACTAGGTAGAATACTTGCCCAGAAACTGTGAAACCTAGATTCTAGGACCTCCCCAAAAGAGAGCCACATCTACATCACCTACTTCCCAAGGGACAGCTCTAACAGCTAACCTATCGACAAGGATGGCTTTAAATAGTTATCCTTGTTCTTACCTACTGAACTTGCACCACTGAACGGAAAGGAATGCATGATTCTTAGGGCCATAATGAAAGCAAGCTGTAATCTAATGATTAGGGCACTTAGTGAAAGACTGAATGAGTCCCATGTCACAAATACCTTAATAATTACTCCAATATCAGCTACCTTTGCAAATGCATACAAGCATTTCAATGTGGTTTACTACAGGATGTGAAGACTAGAGGTGAGGTTAGAAATTAAGTGTACCATGTTAATAACTGACCGTAGCAAATCTATGTTCGCATTTAAAAATATTTACTTTTAAGCAGCAAAGAAAAGAGCCAATAAAATATATCTTTATTACTTCTACTACTACTACAAATAATAATAATAATAGTAAAATAAAAAAATGTTATTGAGTCTTTTTCTCACTGCTTAAATGTATATGTACTAAAAATATACCTTAGTTGTATGTTTGCTTTCCTTTATGTAATAATAATGATGGTAACAGTAATAATAATAATATTCCCCTGTAATTAATCTGTAAAATTTCTATTTTACACTCCACTGTACCGCCACTACATTACGCAGCTGGAGGTGACAGTACAAGTCATGGAATACTATCATTTCCTCAATTTATCATAATTAAAGAAGCACCTGTATTAACTTTTTGTTGGTCCTTTGGAAAATTTCCTATTTTCACCGTGCTCAACAACTCTCAAAATAATTCTTGTTTTCTCTGTGGCACACCGATTGCACATCAAGATCACACAGACAAATACACAGTACACTACACAAGGCTACTGACTCAAGCCAGTGATGAAAGGATCTTTCTGCATAGCCTGCAAAGTGTTGCATTCTCACTACTGATTTTCTATCATTATTAGTACAGTAAATTTCCCTTTAGTTGGCAGCTTTTGAGCTCCACTGAAACTGCTTTCACCTGTCTCTAAAAATGTCTTCATGTCCAAATTTCATGGCCTCTGTCCACCCTCAATGACTTCTTGGCTGCACTTGTTCTTTGGTTTTGCAGCTACATTCTCTTACTTTTTTGGCTGTTCCTTCAGTGTCTTTTTTTTTGTTATTACTTTTTTCTCCTCTGTTAACTTAGTTTCCAAAAGAACCCCACTGGCTTTTGTCCTTGTCTCCCTTTACATCTTCTTTAGATGACCTGATCCACTCACATAGCTTCAACTACTACTTTTTATGTCAACAACTGACAAGACCCTTTCTCGATCCTATTTTGAGATTACCCAAGGTTTCATAAAGCCTACAACAAAGCCAGGTAGAGAATCCAGTTTTGCTATTTCCAAGTCTTCCATTCTAAAGGATGTTTGCTTACAATCATTTATATTGGGTGTATACAGTCTGGTTTTTTTAACAAAAGAATGGTGAAAAAAAATCAGTACAAAATGTTAAAATTACCTTAATTTTCATAGTACTTGGAGCCAAAGCTGTGATCTCTTTTTGCATGCGATCACCAATACCAGGGTACATTGTGGTCCCCCCCGAGAGGACGTTATTAGCATAGAGATCCTTACGGATGTCAATATCACATTTCATAATGCTGTTGTAAGTGGTTTCATGAACACCTGCAGATTCCATTCCTGTTTGGAAATAACATTTGCACACACCATTGTCGATTTTGTTAAACAAAATAATGAACTCTTTCTCTTTATCATCAAAATGAATGGGAGACTCGGAAAGATCACACTCAATGATCCCTTGATAATATTCCAGGAACAAGCTACGCAGTGCTAGGAAGAAGGTGGATTATACAGTTAAGTGCTATTTCTCACCTTCCATGTCATCTCCTTGTGAGGTAGGATTACAATTGCACACCTAAAGCATACTTGAAAAAAGTGATTCTCTCCCACTGTGCTCTGGGTATTTAGACAACCTCAAGTCTTTATTTAGCAAATAGAAAAGCATGAAATGAGATATTCCCTCAATATTCTTCTATTCGTATAACATAGTATTTTGGAATTAGCTAGGTCACTCCTAAATCCATTTGGCTAATTTGATTCTTACAAACTAGTTAGAATAACTGGGTGAAAGGTGAGTAGAGTCCGTTTATGGGAATATACATTTCCCACAAAAGAGCTAACCACATGAAGGACCAGAAACACAGTTAGCACATTGTCATGTATCATGGGGATCTAACAAATCCTGACTGGGGCAGGGTGTCAACTGTACACAGAGCTGAAGGCAAACTATTTGAAACTAATGATATTTGGTTTTATGTTCTATTGCTTCCTGAGTCATAGATTACAGCAGGAGTGGCCAACCCACAGCATGTGCCACAAGCAGCACAGGTAGGCTTTGTGTGTGACATGCAGCAGATTGGGGAGGGAGCAGAAAGCAGAGCAATAGATTGGGCAGGAGAAGGGGAAAGGAGTGGCACTCAAAAAGGTTGTGGGGCTCCTTGTGGCACACCTGCCGAAAAGTTTTCTCCCGCCCCCAGATTAGAGGAACTGATTGTTAAAGCAGGGGCAGAATCTGGATGAGAACTTTCATGAATTATGAGATAACTGTCTCTCTTACATGCTGAGTACAGTTATAGACTAAGTGCAGGCATTCAGGAAGGTTAGATTGTGTTAAAAATGACCGCCCAAACTAATGTAAGTAGGGATGGGGGGGCAAGCTGGCTTGGGGGAGATTGAGAGTCTGCGGGGGCATCGGGAGACAGGAAGCACCCACAGGGGGGTGGGGGGAAGGTGAGGTCTGCAAGAACAATAAGGGATATGGGAACCAGGCAGTATCCACAGCAAAGATTGGGGGAGACCCAGGGGGGCAAGCGGTATTCACAGGAAGGATGAGGAGGTCAGGAAGAATCCACAAGGGAATAGGGGGCAGGCACAAGCTGCAGGAGGTTGGGGGGCAGGCAGGGTCTATGGGATCTGAAAGGGCTTGGGGGGACCAGGAAGGCTTACATGCTCTATGGTGGAGCTTGGGGGCGGGAACCATGGGTTACTTTTAGTCCCCCAACCCTCCACTCCCATCCCTTCCACCCCTGCCCCCACCAGTACTTACCTTCCTCAGCTCCCAGCAGTGGCAAATGCTGATAAAACCAGCACTAGAGCAGCTTGCAGGATAGGGGTTCAGGGGCGGAGGACAGCTGGCTGTTCCACTGGGTGGGGTAGGGGGGTGAGGGGCAGCAGAGCTATAAAATATCCTGGTGCCAGGGGCTGGTAGGAAAAATGCAGCCCCAGGGCTGGAGCTGGCAGCTGGGTTTTCCAACCCTGGGGCTACACAAGTAAGTATAGAGAAGTTCCATTACCAGCCTAACCTAGATCAATTAAGTTTGAGTGTACATTGATCCAGGTCTATCATAGATCAGGTACCACCATTTTTAGACAGATCTGTGTGCACAGAACTTCTGTACTGTTATAGGTTTAGATTGATTTCCAGTCAATGAGATTACGTGCAAGGTTCTCACCTGAGCAAGTTAAGTTAAACTGGCGGGCCACTTTTAACCCAATCTAACCCCTCCCCCAAATGTCTGCACTTAGCCATAATTATCAGCCAATCTAAACTAGAAGAAGTATCTTCTGAGGGGAGTGCAAATACTAGTTTGTTAGCTTTGATCTGACTCTAGTGAAGTCACTATTTCCAAATCCTATTGCTTTCTAAACTGACAGGCAGCACCCAGATGATAAATCTAATATCTTTAAAGAGCAACTAGCCTGACTGTTAGCCTCAGCCCCTGACAAAGCTGCAGGTTCTCAGTACATTTCAAAACAAGATTCTATGTCTTAAAAATCTCAAGGTTTACACTAAACAAAGTCTTCTTTTCAAATTTAGCCAGAAACTGAAAGCACAGGCATGGCCCACCTATGAAGGATGGCTGGAAGAGAGTTTCCGGGCATCGGAATCGTTCGTTACCAATGGTGATGACTTGCCCATCAGGAAGTTCATAGCTCTTCTCGAGAGAGGAAGAAGAAGCAGCTGTTGCCATTTCATTCTCAAAATCCAAAGCCACATAGCAAAGTTTCTCTTTTATGTCTCGCACAATCTCACGTTCCGCTACAGACATCCAACAATAAGTTATATCAATATACAATTTGACAGCTAAGAGATGCACACTGGATAGATCTTGTCATGCACAGTTATGTATACACCTGCAGGCAATGTGGTCACAAATTTGTGATTCAGGAACTCCTGATCTTTAGTCATTGTTCTGACACTGACCACTAAGTGGACTCTATAAGCCACCTAACTTTTCCATACCCACGTTTTCCCACCTGTAAAATTAGTATGATGCTACAACACATCCTTCGTAGCAACACTGGGCAAATTAATCCATGTTTGCAACAAGCCTTTGCAAGCTCTGATGTAATTAGCCATAACAGCAGCCATAACACAAGCCATACATTAGTTCCTCTTGAGAATATGATAATTGTGATTATACATGGAACTTCTTTATGATGTGCATTTCCTCTGCCTGCTCAGCCTGCATTGCATGGGCATCACAGGTCTTAGAAAACAAAGAGGTCCATAAGCTTACTTCATCCACAGTTCAGCTACCCAGTAAAGCAGGCTCCCTGCAGTGCACACTCTGGTGGATACATGCAGTTCAACAAGACACACAATAAAGTCAATGAATACCCATAGAAAAGAAGCTTATTACCAGTGGTGACAAAAGAATAGCCTCTCTCCGTGAGGATTTTCATGAGGTAATCAGTGAGGTCTCTGCCTGCTAGGTCCAACCTCATGATGGCATGGGGTAAAGCATACCCCTCATAGATGGGAACATTGTGTGTGACACCATCCCCAGAGTCCAGCACTATTCCTGGAAAAGAAAAAAGAAAGGAAATGCTAGAATCCCATTAGCCCCCAAATATTCTCCATATTCTACAATGAAAGCTACAATGAAAAAAGGGATAGTTAGGAGACACTCATATGACCAGGCCTTTTGTCTTTATTATATAGTTGGAGCTCTGCTTGTGCCAGGTAGAAATTACTAGCATAAATAAGAACCACTGCCTTTGGCAAACACATGAAGCATTCTGCAATTGCACTATATTGTTCTCTCTGAACAGATGCTAATGATAATGATCTTACATTCATACAGAGCCTTTCATCTCAGAGGATCTCAAACACATTATGGACTTAAAATATTATATGAACTATACACAGAGATCATCCCATTCACCATTAAAATACAGCCACCTCTGAGTAGAAATATGGCATCTGGTTAAAACTGTACACAGCAGTATTGCACAGCACTTTTGATTAAAAAAAAATGAAGCATTATCTTTTCTGGTCAGGAGCAAATAGAAGTTTCTAGTGGTAAAAACAGACTTATACAATTGAGTTCTTTAAAAGACCAGACTATTTGCCACAAACATTAGTTCCTGTAAATGGGTGATATTGCTATGACACCAAAAGTGGAGGGGAGGAAACGCCTTTAAGCACAAAGGGAAAGGGAAAGGGCAGAGATTTTAAAAAGTTCCCAGAGGCTCCCACAGCATGGTTTGCTCACACCAGTGCAGGCAGAGGAGGCTGGGAGCAGGGGGTGCAGCCACCCACATGCAGCGGGTTGCTTTTCCCGCACCTCCCTTTGGGACATCCTGGATCTACCCCTAGCTAATCCTAATACTCTCTTAACTATAGACTAAGTTACATACTGATAAGAACCTACCACTTTTTTTTCCTTTTTTTTTTAATTTCATGTCTCGGTTCAGATCAGCCAATTGGTTCCAAATTCTATTGACTGAGCAGAACTCAATCATTCAAGTCTGTGTGGTGTTACCATCAGCAAGTATCCTACTTCCCAGACTTGCAATCCCCCCACCATTAATTGTGTAGCCAAAATCCTCACATTTGAAAGCATATGTAGACTCTCACAGGGGTCAGCCTGCCCACAGTGAAAAGGACAAGCCGTCTCCATTTAACTGCACCGGGGTGGTCAAAACATGGCCTGTGGGTCACGTCCAGCCTGTGAGGCCATTCTATCTGGCTCGCGGGGCCCCTAACAAATTTAGAAAATTTATATTTATCTGCTCTTGGCTCCTGTAAAAAATGAGGACCCAGGGAAAGCCCTGGCAGGCTCCTCCAACAGCAGGGCCCACTCCGCCCTGCTCCCCCATGCAGCTGCCCTGCTCCCCCATGCAGCTGACCATGCCACTACCCCAGCCAGAAACTCAGGTAAGTGGCGGGAGGGCAGGGAGGACCCTGGGCAGGGAAGGAGCCCACAGAAAAGTGGCCTGGGGAAAAGCTGAGCACAGGGGGGGTGAAAGCGGCCCCTCCCCCGCCCCGTGCTGCAGCCACTCTCAGCCCGCCTGGCACTGTCTGTGTCTGCTCAGGACAATCCCGTCTGGGCTGTGAGTGGCTGCAGCAGGAAACGCCGCCCATGGGGTGGGCAAGGGGCTGCTTTTCCCCAGGTGCAGCTTTTCCCTGGGCTCCCTCCAAGCCGGAGGAAAGCGGCCCTTCCCTGCCCCATGGCCGGCACCCCGCACTGCAGCTGCTTGCAGCCTGCAAGCAGCTGCAATGCAGGGTGCCAGCCACGGGGCAGGGGAGGGGCCACTTTCCACTCAGCACCAGCCTGGGCCTGACACTGGCTCTGTGGCCCCCCAGCTTCCTGCTCCAAGCAGTGTTTGCCACTGCTGCCTCTGGGCTGCCCAGCATGCGAGCTCCAGGCAGGTAGCAGCAGCAAACACTGCCCAGTGCAGCAAGTGCAGGGGCTGCAGCTGCTGCAACTGTGCACAGCCCCAGTGGGTGAGCCCAAAGCTGGTGTGGGGCCCAGGCTGGCAGCAGGGGCAGGTTACAAGCTGGTGCTGAGTGCGGGGGAAAAGCAGCCACTTCCCACCCCATGGCCAGTGCCCTGCACTGCAGCTGCTCACAGCCCACATGGGGATGCCTGTGCCTGCTCAGGACAGCCCCACGTGGGCTGCAAGCGGCTGCAGCAGGGGGCAAGGGGCTGCTTTCCCCCCGCACTCAGCTCGAGCTCCTTCCCTGCCAGGGAGCAAGAGATTGGGGCTGCACACTACCTCCCATCTGTACTGCGGGGCTGGGGGTGGCACTGGGAGTGAGCAGATGTGGGAGCCAGAGGAAGTTTGGGGCCAACACTGGTGTCCCAGGGCCAGTGCCAGTGGGGCCCAGAGCAAGGTGGCAGGAGCGTGGGGTCCCAGCCAGCAGGGTCTCTATGGAGCCAGGCTAGCTCCTCACCTCCCTGCTGGTGCAGACCAGTCCAGCTCCACAGACCCCTGCCAGCCTGTGCCCTGCTTTGGGCCCCACCAATACTGGCCCTGGGACATCGGTCCCAAGATGGTGACCAGGGGGCAGGGCTCCTGTCAAAGGGTTGGGCTACCCATTCAGCCCTCAACAGCTTGCCAAAACTGAGTAAGCAGCCCCCCACCCGAAATAATTGCCCACCACTGAACTACACTAAGTCATTCAAGGGTGAAAAGAAGGGTATCTCCTCTACCAAATAAGTAAAACTACCTGAGCCAAAAGCCACTTCCTGGTATCTTCCCTGTCAGGTGAGGACCTACTACAAGGATAGATTAGTACAACCCATTAAAATAAGATACACAGTAGCGCCCATTGAGCACAGTCCCCCTCAGCACTGACTTTTTCAAGTCACGGTGAGCCACTACACTGCATACATTTCAATTTGTTTTTCATTCCCACAGCTGAATTGTATCTTTCTTTTCCATTTATAATGAATCCTGTATCTTCATCAGCCTTAAATGTCTGGCAAATACTAACAAACAAGGCCCAAAACGTTCAGCCAGAATCTCTCTGTCACCCCTTCTCTCGTTCTATTGCATATGATTAGCATTGCCCCACCCTCCATGAGGTGAAGCCAGACCAAGTTGCTGTATGTCTCATTTGCATATAAATGTTTGGAGCACCATACCAAGACTTGTGACAAGAACACCCATTTCCAGTCATGAGTCGGGGGCTAATTAGCACATTGATCCTTTATGGGGGTTATCTGAAGTATACACACATATTGAGCAGTGCCGAGCTGTGAGGTCACCATGTCTTAAAATGCTATTGACTCTGCTAAGGGCCCAGCCTAATGAGCTATGTGGCAGCCAAGGGCATGAGTATCCCTAGAGGTACTTTGAAAGGTCCCAGGGGCTATGTTGGGGGTGGGAATACTACCAACCTGTGCCACTGCCTCACAGGAGCAG